AAAGAGGGGCTTCCTGTTCCAAACAGAATTCATTTACTTGGCCTAAATCAACAGCAGCACTACTGAAATTTGGGGCCAGGTAATTCTTTGCTGTGAGTACTGCTCTGTAAATGTAGGGTGTTTACCAGCACCCCTGGCATCTACCTACTTGGTGTCAGCAGTACCCCCTACATTTGTGACAATCAAATGTCCCCTGGGGGCGAAAGTGCCCCTGGTCGAGAAGCACTATCTAAATGATGCAACCAGGCCTTCGCAGAGGGCAGCAGAAGACTTCTATGGAGACTCTAAAAATCCAGAGGGACCTTTCCATTTCCCTGCTACAAGCTATCATTCATTTTTTTTCCTTATTCATATTCTTTTTTTTTTAAGTTTATTTATTTATTTTGACAAAGAGAGAGAGAGAGAGAGGAGCAAGCATGAGCGGGGCGAGGGACAGAGAGGGGGAGAGAGAATCCCTAGCAGACTCTGCTGTCAGTGCAAAGCCTGACGTGAGGCTCCATCTCACAAACTGTGAGACCATGACCTGAGCCAAAATCAAGAGTCCACACTCAACTGACTGAGCCCCCCAGGCGCCCCTCTTATTCATATTCTTTAACCAGCCTGAATTCCTTGATGCCACTGCATGAGGGCAGTAGTAAGATCCTCTTTGAAAATGAACCAAACAGTAAAATCTCCACTGAACAAATGAGGTTAGTCATCTGTGGGCGGAAAGCAAGAGACTGTCTGTCAATGTGTGTCTGAAGTGTCTGGTACCAGCCCAGTCTCCTCCAGTCGGGTGATGTAGGAGTCCTGGCTGGAATGTAACTGTGGCTCCGTTCTCGCAAACCTAATTAAGTGTATAACAGCCCACAGGGAGACCAGATGCACGAAGAGAAGGGAGTTGTTCAGCTATGGTACACTGGTGATCACTGGATCCAGGACAGAGGGTGCCTTGGACATATGGACTCTGATTTAGGGTTTTCCTGGCTCAATCATGCCCACAGTGGGTGAGAAATAGTGCCTTAAGTTTCCTTAGCCGATGATCCTGAAAGCTATAAACACTAAGCAAATTCTAGTAATGTGACCCCAGTGTAGCTTGCCCACAAGGAGAAAGAGGCCTTGTCTGAGGATTTCATCCATTGGTGTGACACAAGAAGTTCCATTGAGCAGGGTCTCAGCAGACATAATGCAGGTGGGCCGTGTGAAGAGAAATACTTCCTGGGAAGTCTATCTTGTCTCTACCATTAGATGCTGTGCCTTCTTTTTGCCTTCCCACATCAGCACAGGCCTCTGCCCTAAGCTTACAAAGAATGAGAAGAGAGATGCTCCTGGTCACATATATATTCAAGAGTTGCTCTATCCATCATGAGGCCCTGGGCAGCTTCCTGCTCTGCTTTCCATTCTAGTTAAAGGCGGTTGGGTCCATTACCATGAGGAGGAAGATAGACAGCAAATGGTCACTCATGATGTGTGGGTTGAAGTACTGGCTATTGTGTTTACTTTTTATTTACTTGTTATATTGACCATGAAGTAAATACCATTCTTGATACTTCAGCCCATGTTGTCTAACTCTGTCTTCGCAAAGAGGCTGTGGGGAAGGCATCTCGAGTTATATTTGACAGTTGAGAAAACTGACGCTTACAGAGTTGAGTGACTTCCTCAGGACCCATATGCTAGTAATTGGCAATTGAAATTCAGCCCTTTTGGGCTCCAATTGCATTGTCCTTCTAAACATGTCATAGGAACCTTCTAGGTGACCTCATTGGATGCTGTATAGTTGTGTTTTCTGACCCCACTGTTTAGGGATGGGCAGCTTTCAAAGATGGATGATTCAATCAGGAAACATCTCCTGAGGGCCTTGGGATAAAATCTTTGAAAGCTGCCTATCTTTAAACAGTAGGGTCAGAGAATGGTCTCCATGCCTAAAGGGTCACACAGCATAGGGGCTTTGGGCAGTGGCTTGTCCAAACTCAGCCTTTGTAGATGGGGGACACAGGGGAGGGGAGGGCTTATCCAGAGTGGTGTTGTAGAAAAGCCACGCATAGAATATATGAAAGCCTCATAAAAGAAAGATAAAAGGGTGTGGTAGGTGAATGCAGGTACAGAGGGGGCTGATGATGATGCCACTGACAGAAATAGGGAGGCTCAGAGATGGAGGTAGTGGCAGAAAGGTGAAAATAAGGTGAATTTCTTTCTTTTTTTAAAAAGTAATTTCTACACCTAAATGTGGACTTGAACTCATGACCCCAAGATGATGGGGTCACATGTTCTACCTACTGAGCCATGCAGATGCCCTGGTGAATTTATTTCTGAAGAAGTGAACTTGAAAATCAAGTAACTGGAAATTCCAATTGAAGATTCTAAGACCTGAGGAGGGAAGTCATGTCCCAGAACCTGTGCAATTAGATCTCCAAGTGAGAGTCCTGGCAGTGAGGTGCAGACACCCAAGACAGGGTGCTGCTGTGTTTGACAGATTTTTAGCCACTTAGGTTAAGGCAGAGGAAGGGTGTTTGTCACATCTACAGTCCTTGCAAGACTAAATGCCACAAGTGTCACAGTCATCAGGTAAAGTAACCAAAATGGCCAAAAAGAAGAACTGAAATGAATATAAACTTTACCAAGGATCAATGCAAAATTCTGTATGTTCAGGAAATCAGCTGTACAACTACGGAATTAAGAAGAAAGAATAACAAGGATATTAATGACTGCCAGTTTTAATCTAACAGTTATTATATTCCAGGATCACTATGTGCCCTTGATGGATACTCACCATCTCTTTATTTTTGTGGTTAAGCATTTAGGCAAAGTCTCATGTAAATTTTGATAAACCTAAGAATATAAACACAGCTCTTTACTTATACTATCATCTGGTACCAAATCATTGCAGTTAGGCAACCTTCTGAATTGGTGTTAGGCAGGACAGAGGACACAAATCACAGGGATCAAGTACTTCATTTCCTTATTCCTTGACATCCCACCTAATTACAGAAAAAATTTAAGACGGTGCTTCAAGTCCATCATGTATACAATTTCCTGTCTTTGAAAAGTTCCACGTCAACAGTGCACATTTTACCAAAACAGGCCAATTTTGTAAAGACAACTGAGTAACCAAGTGGAAAAAAAATTTACTTCTGCCTAAGAGGATGAGTGTAGTGTATGATTATCCACAATATAGTTTTGGTTTCCTACCCTATAATCTATGGTTTTATATTGCCTATTGACCACTCACTCTGTGATTAAGCTGGACTTTGTCCCAGGGAGTAGTCGGTGGAGATCATATGATGATTCAGGTTCTATTCCCTTTCCTTATTTAAATTCCCATCTGGATTTCTTAAAAGAGGTTCTAAGGTTTAGCATAGCTCCAGGTTATGAAATGATTGGAAAGGACTTTTTAAAACTCTCTTACTCATTTGAGAGAAGACCTAATATCCATGTCTTGTTAGTTTCTTTGGCATGTTTTCCTACCACTCTTTTCCTTTCACTTCTTACTGCTGTGCCTCAAGTCCAGGCTTATGGCACTAGATGCTTGATCTCCTTAACTGGCCCTATTACAGAGTATCCCTGTCTCCTATTACATGCTTGCTGGCATGACATTTCTATCCCTGTAAACCATTCTCTACCCTGCTGTGGTTAGAGCCCTCACTGTCCTTTGTGAGCTGGCCCCACTCTACACATCCCAATTTATCAGAACCTTCTGGTCCTATACACCCTACTCCATAGTCTCTGTTGGACAGAACACTCTCCTTATCATCCCACCAATGGACTGTGTTCAAGTCCAACTCCAAGCAACAGTTTCTCTATTTCCTCCCTCCCAGCTCATTGCTTTTCCTCCAATTCTCACACTACTTTTGTCTTACTCGCCTCTCAAACCTAGCTCTTGAAGCATCTTCTCCATGAAACCTTTCCAGCTATTCCAATTCTTTTCTTATACTCATTTAGTCTCTTACTACTCTCATTGATTCATCTGCCCCTTTGCCATGAGAGTGCAGGGACTCAAGAGCAAGGAAAAGACTGAGGTACCTTCTTGTTCCTGTCACTGCAGGTCACATACCACAGCACCCAACAACACACCCTTGAAATGGCTGACCGCGCCGATGGAGCCTACCGCTCCCACATCAGCAGTTCATTTCAGACCACCATTTACCAAACACCTACCAGGTATAAGATCCAAACTATCACTGTGAAGGGCAGTCACTCTGCAAATTACAGACTCATTTCTCCTAAATTTTGTCTCAAAAGCTCTAATTCTCTAGTCTTTATTATTTGTGATACCTTTCTTGCTCCACGTGTCACATCACCCATGAAAAACTGAAGGTCAAGTGGTAGTTGGAATATAAAACACTCACTGAACATTTAAAAGTTCCAATCTCCAAAAACCAGGATGCTGTTACAATGAGGTAAAAAGATCTTCAAAATAAAAAGTTGGGATATTGTCTTTTCCACAGCTCAGAGGAGGTTTTTGATTCTTGCCCCTTGGGCCACTTTTGGTTTTTAATTTCTAAATGGCATTTTATTAGATAATTGTTATACTGACAAAAGAACACTGGAAAAACAGATCTCATGTCCCCAGACACTTGTGATAGGCACCCACAAAATGAATAAGAGACAACTACAATGAATACAAATGATTACAACCATCTTTAACATTAGACATTAAATAGTAATCCACAATGAAATGGTTGAGGATTCAGAGCAGACAAACCCTTCCTTAGAATAGTTTGTTGTATTCAGGCTCTGAAACTGACCTTTGGTAGAATCTAAGCCTTTGGCTTTTATTTTTTACCGTCTCTCCAGAGCTTTCTACCTTCATCTTTCAGTGGCAAAAGCCAGCTAGAATAAGCCTACTTGTTCCTACATATTTCTCTAAAAACTCAGGGTGCTCCCCTAGAGCAATTGCCACCCACTGCCTTACAACTAGCAAAGTATTCCAGGATTTCAGTATTTCTCAGATGCAGTAGATCATTAAAAAAAGAAGAAGAAGAAGAAGAGGAAGGAGAAGTATTAGATGGGGAAAATCTTACCTCAACTTCTGACTGGCAGGGACAGTTATTTTATTAAGCTTGTCCATTCTTTTTGTTAATTATAAGAGCCACGAATAACTGTCAGCGGTAAGGTCAGCAGTCCCTGGCCCTCCTAGGGAGTAGCATGGTAAGCCTTTGATCTCAAGGGTCCCAGTCACTTGAGTCTGATTTCCGAGAGTGCAGGTTGCTGGCAAACACCCTACACTAGGGAGAAGTAAAACTTGCTCGAGCACATAGTCAAGTTTCATGTTTCTACATAATCATGTGATCTGGGTAGCCAGCCAGCTTGGCTGATTACTCCACGTTGTGTAAACTTTAATAGTGAAACCTATTGGACATGCAAATTTCTTTCCAGCTGCTTTCTTTTATAACCAGATTTGTAATCAGGTCAGGATGGGCTTCTGGCTGGTCACTACTTCCAGTTGTCCCAAACACATATAGTCCCTGTTTTCAGCGGGTGTCATTCTGTTCCCAGTAGCTTCCTGGGCTCAAGGAAAAGCAGAATAACCATTTCTCAGGTCTTTGGGACTTTCTGCTCATTTGCATAAATTCATGGATAAACTTTTCCACTTAAAGAACCATGATATGAAAATAGCATTTCTGTACTGTCATTTAGAGAGCAGAAGGCAGTTTAAGTTCAGGAAAGAAGAAAATGAGAGGGACAGTTCCCTTTATGCCTGACACACTTCTCTGTAGCCAGCAAGAACACCCGCTCACCTTGGTGAGGAAGGTGCGCATTTACCACATTTACCCACGTGACCAGTCCTTCCTGGGTCTGAAGAATACAGAGAAAGGACAGAGTAGAGGTTCCAAGTTACCTCTTCTGTTACAGACCACAGGTCTGGCTAAAGACAGAGGAGGAAGGGGAGGAAAAGACAAAAAGAGAGAACTGAAGGAGGTGGTGTGGGGGGAGTGAAGAGGAGAAGGGCAAAGAGGAGGAGGAAGAGGGGAGGAGGAGGAGGAGGAAAGGGAGGAAGAAAGAGGGGAGGAGGAGAAGGGAACGGAGATGGAGGAGGGAGGGAGGAAGAGGGAGGGGAGGGGAGGAAGAGAGGAGAGGCAGCAGTGGCACTGGCAGAGGCGGAAGTCAGATGGATTTCTTCCCTTCTCTACTTCTTTGTACAAACAGAAATCCTGATTGTTCATGTACGACCTCTGAATTTCTAGTTTGACCAGATGATTAGGAGCAGAATCCTCAGAGCTTTTAAAGGTGGGGCCCTTCTGCTTGGCCAAGCCACTGAATTGGCAGGGCTGGCAAGGGGGCAGACAATCTTTCACAAGAAAAATGCAAGCACTTGCATCTTCCAGTTGTTTATTTTCCCCAAACAAGAGCTCAATTTGCTTGCAGTGGATCCTGAAGGAGCTCTAGACCCCCACCATCCTCGCTCCATAGTTCTTAACTGAAAGAAACTAGTAGTGCAGGATGGTGAAGGCTGTTACAACGTCATCAAGGATTAAGAAAATCAAGCTTCACTGAATGGGATGATGATAGTCAGCCTGTTTCTTCTAAATTACTGTAAAGTGCACCTCATCTGCCACTTGACTTTTCTCTCAACCAACAACTCCGTTTAGCACCTGGACTAGCAACTTCTTATTTCCCCAGAGAAAAAAAGCAGGGGCAAGAGTTACACTTCTGCTTTTTCTTTTTACAGCCACTCGTCTTTCTTCTTTTTTTACTGTATTTAGTCTGACATAATAAAAATGAGAGTCTGCTTTTCCAGACTGGACATTTTGCCCCATGTGGTGTGTCGTGTGACAGCCATATTGTTCCAGGCTGCCATGACTGGTCTGTAGCTGTAACTGGCTTACCCAGAAGATCAGTGCAAACATGGGAATCAGTGCAAACATCCTAGCTGAGGACCTGTAAAAAGAATGGGGCCACATGTGGTTTCCACAGCACATGGAGAACAGCACAGCGTAATAAACAGTCTCAATTTGCATAGCACAGTGGACATGAAAATTAATCATTAGATGAGCAGAGGAAAAATGGATAATCCCAACTTACCTTAAAGAAAATTTGGAACTCTATACATTGTTGATAAAAATACAAGTAAGTGCAATCACTCTGGAAACACTCTGGCATCACCAAAGTAATTTGAGTCATAGAATGGTATAATAGTATGAATATACCATGTACACCAAGGTCATGTGCAAGAATTGTTACAGAAGCACCATTTCTAACAGAAAATTCAAAAACATTGGAAATAATTGCCATTGCTGATCAACAGGAGAATTAATAAATTAATTGTGGCCTATTAATGCAAATGAGTATTAATCAACAATGAAAATGAGTCAAGTCAATTGCATAAGTATGGATAAATAACAAAATAATTTGGGCAAGAAAGGCAAGTTAAAGAAGATCACACATCATGATTCCAGTATAGTAATGTTAAAGACATGTAAAACTAATATATTATTTAAGACATATACCTATAGGTCAAACAGAGGGAGGGAATGATAAATGTAAAATTCAGGTGAATGGTTACCAGGGAGTGGGGTTGCAGTGAAGGGGCATACAGGGGTTCAAAAGCAATGGTGGTGTCCTACTTCTGGAGTCGTGTGGTAGGTATACAAGTACCTACTATAGGTATTAAATATTTAACAGAAATAAATAAAAGATATGGTCTAGAATTATGAGGCAAAGCCAGGACAGCCTGCTTAAGTTTCAGTTAGCTTTGTGAAATGTTGGGGCTTGAGAACAAAAAGACAGATTATATTGGAACTTGGGGATGAGACCCAACCAACCTTGGTTTCTCTGGGGTCTTTCCTTGCATCTACTAGTGACAAAAACAACAACATGCTACTGAAAGCTTTCCATATTTCTATATTACAACATTCATTTCATTTGTGAAGAAACTGATTTATAGAGTGGCTAAGTACCTGGCTCAAAGTTCCACCATTCACTCATGGAAGAGCTGGGACTCAAACCCAAGTCTATTTCCATACTCTAACCTGAGAATCACAGGGCTTTGCCATCTGTGAGATGAGATGTGTGATTCACAGGGCCTGCTCTGACATAGAGGCACCAATTTATCCTTGACCTTGGGTGAATCACTTAGTCTCTCTGACCTCAACTTGTCTTCAGAGGACAGAAAGAGGATCCAAGGAGAGCTCAGGCTCCTTCTGACTTGGTATCTGAACACTGGCCCACGCGCACAGAAATTAGATTACACCAGTGGCAATACCCTTATGGTTTCCAGAAGAGAAGCTTCTGGTGGTCTTTACTAGATTGCTTCCCAAGGACAGACTAGGTGGTTGTGGCGGTTTACAGAGCTTTGGAAGTCATCCAAGTCTTCACTGGAACTTAAAGGTAAGCCCCTCTGCTCTGCCCCCCACCTGCTGATGGCTTTTCCCTTGCCAGGGTTGGTTTAGACACACTGCCAAAGTAGGCAAGGGGTGCTGTTGGCACTATGCCCTATGGTTCTGTGGTTCTAGCCATAACCTACCCCCATGATGGTCGCCTCACAGCAACTATGAGGGGGCTACTATTTATCATCCCCATTTATGATGTGAAGTCTGAGCCTCAGAAAGGTGACATAACTACCTAGGGCCATCTGGTCTTCCTGCCCCCTAAGCCAGGCCCCTTAACACCCAAACTATTCAGTCTTTTTCCCCCTCTTGTGCTGGTCCTTTCTCTTGGGCTGAAGTTGGGTGGGTGTCTTGTAGGAATAGTGGCCCTGGCAGCTTTCTGACACTGCAGGCCAAAGTAGCTGTTGGTCAGGCTTATGCCTAATTAACTTGCCATTGTTAGTTAAGGGCCCAGATGGAAGAAAATTTGGGAGGAAGCTAAGGGAGGAAGGCTGGCACACAGAAAGCAAGTGGAGGAAAATAGCAAAAGGGGCCAGAAAAGGCAGAGAGAAAAGGAAGTGTGGCAGATGCTGACAGTCTGTTCTCCTTTGCGGGAAGCAGGGACAGGAAGGAAGAAGACAACACATCTGTGACTTGAGCGAATGGGCAAAGGCTCTTTTCAGCCCAAGGCTCACTCACTTTCGGTGAGACCAATCTGCTCCCTATTTTACCTATTCAGTAAAGTCAATATTCTGTATGTCAGATCGGCCTAGAATGCAACATCTATATTACTGGGAGAATAGCCTGGATGATAACAGCCTTTACCCTTGTATCAGTCCAAGTCTCTGGTTAGAAGGAACATTACAGTAGCCTATTGTCAGGATGGACAACTCTTGACCAATGTGCTGTCACCTCCTCCCTTGCCTCCAGCTCTCAGAGCCAATCTGCTGACCAGGTTCTCTTTTGTAGCATGTGCACTGTCACCCTGCTCTCATGCCAGCCTGGGCCCTCAGTTGGGTAACCACTCAGCCTCCTCCTACTTCTTGGTAGCCAGATCCACCCTCATTCTCATCCCAGCCCACGTTCCCAGCTGATGACTTTTCTTAAGGACTTCAGAGGCTTTCCCTTTCTTCAAGAACCAAGTATGGCAAGACTGTGGCTGAGTCTCACCTTAGGATCCATCTTATTCTTCACTACTTCTGGGCAGGTGAGCATCCCTTTGGGAGTTTTCAAACTCTTTTCTCTACATCAGTCACACAGCCCAACCACCAGCCAGGAGCAGGGTGGGAAGCAGATACGTGGAGTCTGAGGCAATTAGGAGGCCAGGTTGTTCCCATCAGTCAGGACCATGAAGAAGCTAGACAACAGGCAAGGGCAAGGGGTGCAGAGTGCTCTGTCCAAGGAATGGGAGTGTAGAGAGCCAAGATAAGGCTCACAGTCTCTAGGAGTTGAGGTCGTGGAGGCCAGAAGTCCTTGGCAGCAGATGCTCTGATTGATTACAGTTTTCTGTTTTTGACTTTTAAACTAGGCTTGACATTTCTTAAAAACAAAATTAAGGCAATTTAAAAAAAAAAAAGGCAAACCTTATATATGAAAATAAATGGAAATGAATGAAAGGTAATATATCACAGAGAAGAGGATTACCTTGACTTCTGAACACAGTCCTCTGTACATCCTCAATAAAATATATTCTATGGAAATAACGGCAAAGAAATTTCAAATTCCAGTCACTGCTTTTACTTTTAGTAATAAAACATGTATTATGAATTTTGAAATGATACTAAGCTATGAAAAGACATGGAAGGACTTTAAATACACCTTAGATTACCAAGTGAAAGAAGCCAATCTGAAAAGGCTACACCCTGTATGATTGTAACCATATAACATTCTGGAAAAGGCAAATTAATG